TTGCCCAGGGTGACCCAGGCACAGGACATGCTCCAGTGTTAGCCTCCTGAGTAGTTGGGACAACAAGTCCTACTTAACATAAGAGTTATTATTTTGGCCCTTTTCAGCAGGCAGCTCAGTGGCATAAAGTACATTGGCATCAGTGTGCAGCTGTCACCACGCTGGACTCTCAGGAACTTTCCCAGTTCCCAAGTGAAACTACACCCAGCTGACAGTGAAGCCCGGTCCCTCCTCCATCCACGGCTGCACCGTTCTGTGGTCTGCCTCTCTGCCTCTGCGTTTGATGGTTTAGGGGCCTCACATACATAGAGTCAGACAGTATTGGTTTCTTTTTGTCAAATTGCTTAGTGTACTGTCTCAGGGCTCCTCCCCATGCTTCCGTCCTCACCGTTTGGCACATTCCACGCGACCCCACCCGACCATGGAAACAGGCTCCCATCTATTTTTCTTTGTCTGGAAATGAACTGGGAGGAAAGGTGGTAGGATGTGGGGACAGGGTAGGGCCTGCAGGCGACCAGAGAACCATACCGTCGCCCATGCTCTCCTTCTGTTTCCTAACTGCCACAGATTGAAATCGCCCAGAAGCACCCTGATATCTATGCAGTCCCTATCAAAGCCCCCAAGCCAGATGCCGGCCTGCCCCCGCACATGAGGTAAGGGCTGTTCAGTGGGTGTAGGCAACAGGAGGAGCCTTCTCCAGCATTTGGATTTGAAAAGTTTGCTCTACCCAGACGGCAGAGCAGTGAGAGAATTTCCTTCCCAGGCTGACTGTGCACCTCATCCTGTCAGTCAGATTTAACTATTAAGATCAAAGGACCAAAAGCCAGGCAGAGGCAGGTGGATCTCTGTGAGTTCCAGGACAGCCAGGGCTGTAGAGAGACCTTGTCTTGAAAAGATTACAGAATCGGACATTTCTGATCACTTGACTTGTGTGCCTAATACCCTGTGGTACACTGGAGACTTACATTGTATTATTATTAGGAGGGCACATGAGCAGAATTTTCAAGGCTTAGGCTTTTTTTTTGTCCTGTGTACTGGCTTTTAGCCAAACCCCTTAATTCCATTGTATCACCATGCACAGTTGGGCCACTTGTGCCGAACTAGATCTGAAGGACTTCGACAAGCATTATCCTTCTCTTCCTGTGGAGAGCTCACACTGAGTGGTCTCCCACTTCTGGAAGCTGGAGTCTTGTTTTAAGGCACCGAGAAACTAAAGGCAATGATGGTTACTGTTTGAATGCCCACACAGTTGACCAAGTTGACCCTGACAGAGGAAACTTGATATAATTGATTTGACATGGACAGAGGACTCTACTGAGTGGGGCTGTAGTGGGGAGCATAAGAGTGCAACGGGTACAGCCTCCCTACGTTAGTTCAGACGACATATAGCTGCCCAAATAGGCCTTGGCCTTGACCCATACCGTATCTCTTCCCCTCCCACCCTGTGAACCTGAAGAAGGACTGGCAGTACCCTGGCTAGTGGTAGACCGGACCCAGGGGTCAGGAAATGATCAGCCTGCTGGACTCATAGCTTCAGTGACCCTGTGGGCAGCTGGACGATGCAGGCTGTGTGATACCCTTATTTTTGTTAGTTCTAGACCTCCAGAGCCCCAGAAAGCTCCGTCCAGACTCTACCAGGACACCAGCTACGGCAGTGATCAGGAGGAGGAGGAGTACCGGCAACAGTTGGCGGCGCACTCGAAGCGTGGTTACTACAGCCAGCCCTCCCGGTACCGAGACACGGAATTATAGATGGCTGCGCATGGACTCGTGCTAGGCCGACCTGGAGATCTTCTCCAGTTAAAGTGCCCTGCAGAGATATGATGGGGACCCAGGCGACAGACAGTACCAATTACCAACCGAAGACTCTGTTTGTGGGACTGGGTAAAGCTGATTATGACTTTTTGCCCAGGATGAAGAGGAACAGTACAGTCTGACACTGTTACTTGCTTTGGTGTGGACCAAAATCTGTATTAATCTCTCTGTATTTTTTAATATGTATATTAAGGAGCAATAACTATGTTTCCTCATTCATAGCTGCCTTCCAACACTGCTTCCATGTGAAGCAATCATGAAAAAGGAGTAAGAAGAATACTCTGTCTCAAACTAAATTCACAAGTATTTTATTACAGCTCTCTAAGTGCCTTTGACAAGATGTGTCTTAAGTTTTCTTTCCTGAGGCTTATGCAAAGCTATAATGAACTAAAACTTTATTTTGACTAAATTTTTCTACCAGTTTAGCAGCTCTAACGGCCCCCTGCCTCATGCCCATCTTTTCAGGGCATTGTCTTTATAGTATTTCCCACAAATCCTGACTGTACAGAGGACGGCTACGCTTGGTAGTTTGGTTGTCAATGCTGCAGAGCTCGGAGGCCAAGAATTTAGTCTAGGTTTTTTGTTGTTGTTGTTGTTGTTTGTTCAAAACCATGGGCTCCAGAAACAGATACCTGAGAAAAGGGTATTTTGTTTCCTTTATATCAGTGTATGTACTGACATCAAGCAATTTTATAATTTAATAAAAAGGAGTACATCGTAGTCAAGAATGAGCTTTGTGGTGAATTTCTACACAGCTTCCTTTTGGGGTAGTGTTGGAACGGAACCCAAGGTCCTTGCGTGTGTGGAGTGCTGCTCTACCACTGAGCTATATATACCTCGGCCTTCTTGATTTATTTTAATTAAAATTTAAAAATTAAAAAATTGTGTGTATTATTTCTCCTGTATGCATCTATATGCACTACATGTGTGCCTGGTGCCTACAGAGGTCAAAGAGGGCATCAGATCCCCCTAGAACTGGAGTTAAGGACGGTTGTGAGCCACCATGTGGGTGCTGGGAATCAAACCTGGGTTCTTTGCAAGAACAAGTGCTCTAAACCACTGAGCCAACTGTCTAGTCCCTCCGTCCTGTTGTTAAGACCTTTATTTCAGTTGGTCACACAAGTGAGAACTTGTTTATCCTTGAACTTTGGGAAATGGAGACACATGAAGAGTAAATAAGTTACCCCATCACAGCCCTGATCGTTTTGGGGTGTTTCCTCTAGTTACTTATTCATAACATGTCTGTTGTGTGTCTGTGAGAGATCCCTGAGGTTGAACTGGCTTTGAACTTCTGTCCCCTATTCTTCCTGCTTCGCATTTTTATCAAGAATGGTCCTCTCACACAGTGAAGAACTCCACATGCCCATCATGACTAATCACTGCAGACGAATCTTCGTAAGTGAACACTCCCTTTGGCTGTTTTGATTATGTCCATTTTTTCCCTCTATTGTACTTCGTGCACCAGCGTCATCGAATCGGCCCTTGCCTGTGGGTAGATTCTCAGAAGTGGAATTGGCAAGAGGAAGCAGCGGGGCATTTTTAGGGCTTGTGTTTACTACTAGTAAATCGCTTCCTAGAAAAGCTCGTCTGTTTTCACATTCACTCTTGGAAGAGTAGAATAGGTGTAAAATATAAATGTGACCGTTTAGGAACCTAAGCTCGTGTGACTCAAAGGCATACTGAATTTGGGAGAGGAAGACTGGAGAGGAGGACTCTGTTGAGTGTCCTTTATGTTGTGATAGGCATGTCAATGATACGCTTAAGTTTGGTGGAGTTACAACTGGGGCTTAGTGAATTAGGCTCTAAACAGGTCCTTTTTCATGTCTGTCAGTCTGGGTGCTGTGACTCCAAGCCATTGGTTGTGGAGGCTTGAATTTCTGAACAGCCCTCAAGTCCTCAGCAGACACTAAAAGCTGCTCATCCCATGAATAAAAGCCACCGTCTGTGAACAGACGGAAATGTGTACTGCTTCAATCCGGGATGACTTACTATTCCTTCCTCCTTTAAATACAGGAACAAGCCATTCAGGAAACGCATTTAGAGGGTGAGGAGGCCTCCCTGTAGGCACCGGCCCAGGCTAGCATCGGGTGCTTTAAGTGGTGTGGACAGGCAGTGTGTCTGGTCCCCGGAATGGCCATGGGTGCCCAGGAACCGCCAGGATCCCCCCACCTCTTCCTAGTCATGGCCTGCTTTGTTCTGGGGAGGGAGGACTCAACGCCCCCCGCAGTCCACTGGAGTCCTGGAAACGGTGGTGCTAGGCAGATGAAGAAAGGGGAGGCGGACATGAGACTAGGCAAGTGAGCTTCGAGTGAGGGTGGCGTTCTTTGTTGTAGCTCTCTATAGGTCTCCACAGGCAGAGGGACAGGTGAGGAATGTCCTCCATTGTTTTTATTCTGTGAATTCCCAAATGGCCACTATATACAAGAATGACTGGGTGGTTGGGTGGGGCTCTTTTTTTTTTTTTTTTTTTTTTTTTTGGTCATTTTGTCTTTTGAGACTGATCTCACCATGTAGTCCAAGCTGTTCTGAAATGTCCATCCTCCTGCCTCAGCCTCTTGAGCGCTGGGGTTCTAGGCATGTACTACCATGGCTGGCTTGGGAGGTCTGTTTCTCACTATGTTCTTTTATGGAGGGCAGTAGCATAATTCCCAAAGACCACCCAGAAGTTCTTGGAGAAGGGACCAGAAATGTGTGAAGCAGCACTCTTTTTTTTTTTTTTTTAAACAAGAAGTTTATTTAAACAACAAGACGCTTGACTTGAAGGGAAAACTATCTAGGATCATTTTGTTCAAGAGTAATTTACCCCTACTTAAAGACAGATTGCCCTACATGTAACAGCTACGTACAAAAAAGTTATAAAATTGTCCTTGGTTTTACAATGATAAATGAAAAACATTAAAATTCTCCAATCAAACAAGGTATGCAAGGATTTTGTTGTTGGGTTCTTTTGTTAAAACGTTGAGAGCGGGCTGGAGAGATGGCTCAGAGGTTAAGAGCACTGGCTGCTCTTCCAGAGGTCCCGAGTTCAATTCCCAGCAACCACATGGTGGCTCTCAACCATCAGCAATGAGATTTGGTGCCCTCTTCTGGTGTGTAGGCGTACATGCAGACTGAACACTGTATACATAATAAATAAATAAATCTTTAAAAAAAAAAAAAACCAAAAAAAAAAAAAAAAACAAACAAAAACGTTGAGAGCAAAATAACTTACTGGAATATAAAGATAAGAGCTGAATGAGCATGCCACTAATGGAGAAAGGGGGATATTTTCACAGAACCAGTACTTTCCCCCAGACCATCTCCATCTGATGTCAATCAAAACAGAACATTGGCCATTTAGTTTAAAAAAGAAAAGAAAAAAGCGCAAATGCTTGTGCACATACACCAGTTACTTTATGTACAATAAAGAAATGGGGACAGGGAAATGAAAGAATAGAGAAAACTATACTGTAGTAGTCAGGATGTGGTGGAACCAAATTGCGGCTTTCTAATTGCGAATGTATTCTTGGTCTATAACAAAATTCTGGAGTAAAGTAGCAGGTTCCCTTTTTAGTAGACACCTCCTGTCTGCTGCTGGAACACATCAATCGTATCTTCATCCTCCATTTCCAACTGTGCAGGTGTATCTGTTTCATTGATTGGTTGCCCATCAAACCGGAATCTGATCTGCCTCATTGACAAACCCTGTCGTTCACAATAGGCTTTCATTAGTTTACTAAGTGGTGTATGCCTCTTAATCTTAAACTGCACCACAGAACCATCCTGCCCCGCCACCTTCAAATTAATATGATCGTTGTTCTCAGTCTTGACTCCTTCCTTGGGTTTCTCGTCGGCCATGGCGAGCGCCGGAGTCTCCTCAGCCGCCGCTTCACAAAAGAGGCGAAGCAGCACTCTTATAGTCTGGCTATATATCCTGAGATCTCCGTCCTGAGTTTGTGTCTGTCTGGGATACATGGCTGGAATGCATGTCTGGGAAGGAAGATCTCAGCTGAAATAAATGATCCTAGGAGATGTGGGTTGAGCTCTGAGAACAGATGTCTCTCTGAGAAGAGAGTGGAGAATAGTGATTGTGTTCTTGAAGTAAGTTGGTGAGGGCTGGCTCTGGGCAGGCATTTCCTACAATCCTTAATTCGAGTCGAGCTGTTCTTTCCTGCCTTAATTGCCTGCTCTCTCTGTCCCTGCCATTCTAAAGAGTTCCCTTAGGGACCACAAGAAGGGTAGAGGGGCTCTGCTAAAGGCTCTGTGGGAAACACTTACACATTGCTCACCCTCATTAGCAGCCCGGGAAGTAGGAATTACTGCAAGTCGGTTTGGTGGTTTTTAAATGGGAGATGCTGGCTGGCTTCAGAGTACTTTCCGGAGGACAGCCGGTATCTTTGAGTCCAAATGAAGCATTTGATTCTCTGAGCAAATCTAGCTTGTAGGTGATTCAACCTAAGGGTATTTAAAAATAGCAGTGAGCTGGGTATAGTGGTTGTGGTAATTAGTGTTGTTAACTTGACAGACTCTAGAGTCACGGGGGAGATGGGCTGCTGGGTGTTCCTCTGGGGGCCAGCTAAGTGCTCATGTGATTTCTATCTGTTTCCTGATTGTGGGTGTCATGTGACCAGTTGCTTCACGTTCCTGTTGCCTTGACTTCCCCTCTGTGATGGACCTGTGAGCCAGAACGAGCCCTTTCTCCCTTAAGGTGCTTCTGTCAGAGCATTCTATCCCAGCAACAGGAAAAGAAGCTAAAATGCTGGCATGTGCTTGTAATCCTGAGCACTTGGAGACAGAGGCAGGAGGATCACCCGAGTTTGAGACCAGTGTGGGCTACAGAGAGGGTCCAGGATTCCTAGGGTTATATAGTGAGACCCTGTCTTGAAACAGAAGGGGAAAAAAGTATATTTTACACTAGTACATATATGGGTGTTTCATTCTGTGTGAGGTGGCAGATTTAAAGCTTCCTCACTGAACCTTGGTGATGAAAAGTCAACAATACGCTCCTTTTCCTGCAAGAGGTGGGTCTGTAAAGGATTTGGTGAAGCCAGGGAACTCTCTGCAGGCATCTGATGCTGCCAGCCCTCTCCAGCCAGCCCCACACGGAATCAAGCAGTCTGAATGTTACTCGCACCCAGACCCGCAGGACCGGAAGAGGTCAAGGTGGATGCGGGGGTGAGAGGAAACTAAGAGGAAAGGACTTTTAACCTTCCCTCCTCCACATGCCAGAGCCACAGAGAGCACGTGCTGCCGAGACCAACAGCAACCATCCCCACACCCCATCCTACCCTACAGCACCAGGTAGGGACTGCCAGCACCAGAGAAAACTGAGACCTGCATCTTTGAATTCAGCACAACGGAGCAGGGAATTCATTTCTTAAGTTAATGCTACTCTCAGAGAAGCCGTGCCTGAAGACACTCACAGCTGGTCCAAGTATAAGACTGTTGAGTGCTCATCTCTAAATGGGACGTACCACCACCAGGGTTCAGGGACTATTCTAGAAGAAGGGGTGGGGTGAGCGTAAGAGCTGGAGGATGGAGAGGAGTGCTGGAAATGCTGTATTCTAGGCCATTGCACTCGTGAACCCACAACAGCCTGAGTGAGCTGCTCATGATCAAGTGGATCAGTGGATGGGGGAGGGGCTCACGAGGCCTTATTCCCCCATGTGGAACTATTGGTTAGTGTGTGTGTGTGTGTGTGTGTGTGTGTGTGTGTGTGTGTGTGTGTGTGTGTGTGTGTGAGAGAGAGAGAGAGAGAGAGAGAGAGAGAGAGAGAGAGAGAGAGAGAGAGAGAGGTTAGTGGTACAGAGGAACACTTGGTAGTTAATGGCTACTGGGTATGTGTGCCACTTTCTTCAAACTGCCCCGACTCCAGTAAATAACCCTGCACCCATGCTCAAACAAGCAACCCTAATTAAGCTCAGTAGGAGAAGCGTGAAATATTAAAATATTAGAAAGCACATCAGAGGAACTAAATAATATAAGCCATTTAGTTAGGATTATTGGCATTTGGGTGTGGGAGAGATGACTCAGCAGTTAAGGACACTTGTTCTTCTGGAGGACCCAGGTTCCATTCCCAGCACCCCTGAGGCAGCTCACAAACACCCACAACTCCAGTTCCAGGGGATCTATCTGACCCCTTCTGACCTCTGTTGGCATCAGGCTCTCTTGAGTTTGTGCACATACATACATGTAGGCAAAACACTAACACACAAGATAAATCTAAAGAGAGAGAGAGAGAGAGAGAGAGAGAGAGAGAGAGAGAGAGAGAAATATTGGCATATGAATTCTGAGGAAAATACAACATTGCTTAATGTCCTACAGAACAGAGAATGAAAACCTTTGCAAGTATATTGTCCACAAGATAGAAATCATTTGTGTCTTTCAGACAAAAGTCTGCACATCAGTGTGTAGGTCTAGGAACTTGGATCAATAGTTACAGCGTCAGCTGATCATTATATGGGTCATTATACCGAATAATCTCACACACCCTTCTGTGGCTCATTAAAAAAAAAAAATCTACTCTTTACATTTGGATTAGAACAGAGGAATGTTAAGTAAAAATATTTGCTGTGTCCCTCTGTCGATAGATCCAGACCTTGTGAACTGACTATGACTTATTCTCACCTTTTGAGAAGTTCACGTTGTAGATGCTTTTGTTCACCTGATTCTTTAGAGTGTGAGATTTCATGAGCTGAAAAATTGTCTTGTTCTTCGAGCAGCCATGCATAGTAGGATTCAAAACAATTTCCAGCTTCTGAATCCAATTTCCTTTCTTCCCATCTAGAGATCTTTTCTGGAGAGTTTCTTGAGATGGTTTGTTGAACCTATTGTATAGTTTCCCTTAGAAAATTCTAAAACGGGGGCTCTGTGGTTGGTATGTAAAATGAATAAAAAATTTCTTAATAAAGAAAAAAATTCTAAAACATCAATGTGCTTTAAAGAACCTAGTTTTCATAATGGCAAAAAGTAACTTTTAACAGCCATGGAACAAACCTAGTTCATGAACATGTATTTCTTGGCCTACATGGAGCAATGAAGTTTATAATGAAAGGCTGGTGAGATGTCTCAACAGGTAACGATCCTTTCTGCCAAATCTGATAACCCAAGTTCTATTCCTGGGTCCCACGTGGTGGAAGAAGAGAACCAGCTTATCCTCCAACCTCCACATATGCATTATTGTTCACATGTATGCTCACATATATACACAAAATAAATACAAAAAGCATTTTAGAGATTGATTTTGACTTTAAGCGTATGAGTGTTTTGCATGTACATGTCTGTGCACCACATGTGTGCAGTGTCTGAACTGGCTAGATAATAGCCCAGACTTCTTTTCTTTTAAAAAGTAGAAGATTAGGTAGTGCTGGACATGTGTCTTTCCATAGTAACAGCAGGCTGGAGCTAAGTGGGTACTGTCATAAACCAGGGTCCTGCCAGGCCTCCCCCTTCAAAGCTGTGTAGCTGGATGAGGCCAGGATGGGCCATACTTGTTCCCCTCTTCCTGCTTCCTTGTATTGCCTTCTGGTGCCAAGCAGTGTGTGGCATCCATACAGGCATGAGGGAGCCAGCATTCTGAACACACACACAGAAGCAACTGTACACCTCCCAGGGAAGGTTCCTAGCTTACTCACAAGCCAAGTCAATATCTTTGAAGGCCCTTGATTCCTGCAAGTGTTGTTGTTTAGCTGGCTTGGAATGAGAAATAGAGATAGGGTAGAGGATGCAATTGGTCCTCTGTATCTATGGATTCCACACCTTGGAGTTCAACATACCACAGCTTGAAAATATTTGGGAAATTTTTTTTCAAATTTTAGGGACTAGAGAGATGGCTCAGTGGTTAAGCGTACTTGCTGCTTTTGCAGGGGACCCAGGTTCTGTTCCCAGCACCCACACGGTGACTCACAACTGTCTGTCCCAGGGGATCCAGCACCCCCTTCTGGCCTCCTCTGGTATCAGGCACATATGGTGCAATACAAACACGCAGGCGAAATGCATACTCAAAAGTAAGTAACTGAAAAGTACTAATACAAATTTTTAAAACAATGCAGGGTTAGTGGTGGTAGCCTGAAATACAAGCACTTGGGAGGCAGAAGCAGGATTGCAATGTTTCGGGCCAGCCTGGGCTACATAGTGAGATCTACTTCGAAAAACTTAAACAAAACAACACCTCAATGCAGCAAATATTTAACGTAGTATTCGTGTGTCCTCTCGAGACAGCTTAGAGAATGAGAAGGAGGTACATAGGTTATGGCAAATATTGTGTCCGTTTCATATAAGGGACTTTAGCATTTGCAGCTTTGGGTGTCCGTGGGGAGTCATGAAGCCATTCTCCCAGAGAAATCTGGGAATACCAAGGAATGGTTGTGGACTGCTGGAGATGTATTAGTTTCTTTTCTGTGATAAAACCTGGGCCAAAGCTGGGCGGTGGTGGTGCATGCCTTTAATCCCAGTGCTTGGGAGGCAGAGGCAGGCAGATCTCTGTGAGTTCGAGGCCAGCCTGGTCTACAGAGCGAGTTCTAGGACAGGCTCCAAAGCTACACAGAGAAACCCTGTCTCAAAAAAATAAAAATAAAAAAAATTAAAAAATTTTAAAAAATCACAACAACAAAAAAACCATCATGACCAAAGGTAACTTAAGAAGACAGAGTTCATTTTGTCTTATAGGCAGGCATGGCAGAGGTGTGGCGGCAATTGGCAGGCATGGCAGCAGGAGCCGGAAACTGAGAGTTCACATCCTTAAAGGCAAGCTCAAAGCAGAGGAAGCAAACGGGATAAACAAAGGTCAAGGCTATTTCATTACTTCTCTGTTGCTGTGACAGAACACCGTGACCAAGGCAACTGGGAAGCGTTTATCTGGGACTTACAGTCCCCGAAGGACAGGAGTCCATCGCCATCGTGATGAA